AACGATATGTTCCTCTAGTTACTAGGTTCATTATTACTTTCCTTTTTATATATAGATATTATAACAGCAGTAGTCCATGCAGCTGGGTAATGATCTTTACATAATATTTGTGAAAACAATAAAGCAAGGTAGTGTGCAATCATATCCCTTTTTTTTAAAGTTCTGTAGGAATAACGTCGTATCCTGGTGACTTTTTCAGTTTAGCATCGTCTATTGCAGATATAACATCATAAGACAGTTCATCATTTACACAGTCAGTATAATGTTCATAACTATGTTCATGAATATAGTTTCCCATATAAGAATCCCACTCCTGGTCACAGTCACGTGATACAGGACTTAATAAATATGCTTGCCATGTTTCTGGTAAAATATTATTCTTATCAGGTCGCCTAAATGAACATTTTTTTTACAATCTTTACATATTATTTATTAAATAAATATTGACGAAATAAGGGATCACTTGCTAGATTGTCAAAACTCGTTACGTGGGTGATACCATTTTCTTAATCAAGGGTACAGCCTACTAATCACGGATGCAACCAACCATAAAAAGTGTTGTTTAAACGGGTCTGCGTTTTGGGAGGGGACCAGTTTAATTGTCCATATACGGTGTATCGCCTCCTATCAATATGAGTGTTCCCGCTCGCGGAGCACCCTGGCCAACCCTCGTTAGTCAGTTTCATTCCTCGATTCAATCATACATAAACTGACTGACTGACTGACTGAGTTGAGTCTTACGCCGCTTTTAGCAATATTCAAGCAATATCACGAAGGGTGACACAACAAATAGGCTTCACGCATTGTACCCATGTGGGGGATCGAACCCGGGCCTTCGGCGTGACGACCCAACGCTTTTTTTGTGTAGGCTTCCTCACCGCCCCCAATTTAATCATTAGCCACTGATTGTATATATAGTATGACCAGAAATTATTGAGAATTTAAGGAATATGTTTAATTGGATTTCTAGTATAAACAACCTTGACCAGCTATCAAGTGTTTGGCTTCATTCAAGAGAGACAACTCCGTTAATCCTTTTTCATTAGTTTGTGAAGAGTTATTCCCCTTTGTTTACTTGCTGGCAGACGACATTTTCAGTGATCCTCAGTATGGATGATTTAGAGAAGGGGAAGTTGCTTTTAGAGTATTATAACAAGGACATCAGATTAGCTAAAGTGATTTCAAGTAGAACAGGCATCCCTTTGCCCACTGTTTATCGTGTTTTGAAAAATATTGCAAATGGATATGGCATTGAGCACCAGGGAGGCGCAGGTAGGCCCAGAAAATTGACTGTCGGTGACAGGGGGCGGCTTGGTATTCTTGTTTCTAAAAAGAAACGAAGGAGTTTAGAAAACTTAAGGTTGGATATGATTGATAGAGGAACTGTGGCTGTCTGTAAGGAGACAATTAGAACTGAGCTGCATGCAACAATGGGTTGGCAGAAAAGTCGAGGAATTCCATCACCGATCATGAAACCTGAACAAAAGGAGCGAAGGTTGAACTGATGCTTACAGCATAGAAATTTTAACTGGGACAATGTGATTTTCTCAGACGAAAGTTCTGTGTGGCTGTTTCCTAATACACTGAAATTCTGGACCAAACAAACTGAAAAACCTTTGTATCAGTACAGTCCGAAATTTAACGTGTGGGTTGGCATATCTATGTTAGGGGCAACGCCCCTCTGTGTATTTGAAGGGAATACGAACAGTGAGCGGTACACAGATATTCTCGAGGGACATTTACTTACATCTGCTCACGTGTTCTGTGGAAAGTTTTTGATTTTCGAGCAGCACAACGACCCAAAACATCGTTCAAAGCATTCACAGGCCTGGTTTCGGACCCAAAATATGACATTATTAGATTGGCCAAGCTATAGCCCTGACCTAAATCCAATAGAAAATGTTTGGGAACTTATGAAGAAAAGTGTCAATAAGAAACATCTGATAAATATTGCTGAAATGAAAGAAGAGGTGGTCCGATTTTGGGACAGCATGGACCATCCTTTCTTACTTCTTTGATCAGTAGTATGCCCCGCCGCATTGAAGCCTGCATTGCTGCCCATGGTGACTTGACAAAATACTAACTGTTCACCTATCTTTGAATCTGGAGTTATGTTCTGCTAATTTTCACATTTAATACGTGAGTAATGAGTGAAAAAAAATAAAAAAATTACAATATTAAAATCTCAATAATTTCTGGTTGTACTGTATGTGTGTTGTTACATGCGTTGGGGAAATGCGTCATGATAATGTTGCGTATCTGCTTGGCGTATTCTTGCCTTAGTTCTTCCATAAAATAGAAACATGTACAATGTCAAACTTGTGTAAGTCTAATAGTTGTGCGTTACATAGTTGCTGTATTGTTACGTGTAAAAGCCTTTTTTGTATAAAATATCTGTTTGCATTATATTCCCTTAGTTAGCCTTCATAAACACCGGTTAACTTGGATTGAATTCTGGTTGACGCACGTATTGAGAAATGGGCGACGTCCCGTGACTTGTTGTCCCTGTGCTCTTCCTTAGTTGAAGTGAATCTTCCCAGTGTATGACGGGGCCTACACATGTAGCACATTAGTACAACCCCTGAATCTGAGCAAACATACATCACGTCCCGTGGGTCTCCACACAGAGGCCTTCAGTTGTGTGTGCGTGCCACGTGCTTTGGCGTCACACAAAGCAATAGCCACTTGCTTTGTCGTGTAATTTCACTTTTGGAACGCCTTGATTCAACAAACTGTGTATAGTAGAACATCTATATGCTGTAATGTTTACACCCCACCATAAAAAGAGGTTTGTCCGATTGTGAAATGAACATACAGTTGTGAACTTACCCCAGTACCAGTACGTTCTGCAACAACAAACATCGCATGTCAGTCATATGTGCCACTGTTACATAAAACACACCTTTAGTGGCATCACAGAAGAAATCTGTTTGATATTCCACTATCGATATTCCTTTGTTTTAGTGACAATACACAATGTAAAAATCAAAACATCTACTATTTCTTACAAACAAAGTCAGTTTGTTTACTCATTACTTTCTACAGAAGTACCACACCAGGACCAGTGAGATAACAAACCATTCTATTAATGTATGTACATGTTTGGTATTTTCATTCACAGCTAACAAACAATAAGACATACAGACAAACAGGTAAAAACTGACACAACAGGACCAGCGAGATAACAAACCATTCTATTAATGTATGTACATGTTTGGTATTTTCATTCACAGCTAACAAACAATGAGACATACAGACAAACAGGTACAAACTGACACACCAGGACCAGCGAGATAACAAACCATTCTATTAATGTATGTACATGTTTGGTATTTTCATTCACAGCTAACAAACAATGAGACATACAGACAACAGGTACAAACTGACACACCAGGACCAGCGAGATAACAAACCATTCTATTAATGTATGTACATGTTTGGTATTTTCATTCACAGCTAACAAACAATGAGACATACAGACAAACAGGTACAAACTGACACACCAGGACCAGCCCAGATAACAAACCATTCTATTAATGTATGTACATGTTTGGTATTTTCATTCACAGCTAACAAACAATGAGACATACAGACAACAGGTACAAACTGACACACCAGGACCAGCGAAATAACAAACCATTCTATTAATGTATGTACATGTTTGGTATTTTCATTCACAGCTAACAAACAATGAGACATACAGACAACAGGTACAAACTGACACACCAGGACCAGCGAGATAACAAACCATTCTATTAATGTATGTACATGTTTGGTATTTTCATTCACAGCTAACAAACAATGAGACATACAGACAAACAGGTACAAACTGACACACCAGGACCAGCGAGATAACAAACCATTCTATTAATGTATGTACATGTTTGGTATTTTCATTCACAGCTAACAAACAATGAGACATACAGACAAACAGGTACAAACTGACACACCAGGACCAGCGAGATAACAAAACTTTCTGTTAATGTATATACTTCAGGATAACTGTAAGTTACAATAAATATATTTACACACACAATCACTTGAAGTCAAAATACTTGTTTCTAGTATGCAAACAGGGGTCTTAAAACTGTATTTGGAGTTTGAGTGAATCATCCGCGCACTTTCGGCCAGATGAAATGCCTTTGCTACCCTTTGTCCCATCTGCGGGTGTGGTGGGGTAGCCTAATGTAAAAGCATGTAACGCCGAAGGGTTCGATTCCCCACATGGGTGCAATGTGTGAAGTCCACCTCTGTCCCCCGCCGTGATATTGCTGGAATATTGCTAAAAGCGGCGTAAAACTCAACTCACTCACTCACTTTATCTGTTGTGTGTACTCCATTGGATTGATGTGTGTGCAGGGTGTACTCTGCTAGATTGATGTGTGTGTAGTGTGTACTCCGCTGGATTGATGTGTGTGTAGTGTGTACTCCGCTGGAGTGAAGTGTGTGTAGTGTGTACTCCGCGGGAGTGATGTGTGTGTAGTGTGAACCCCACGAGAGTGTTGTATTACAAATACATTCCAGTGTTTTTATGTGGGATCTACTCCAGTGATTCAGTGTCTAATCCATTCCGGATCATTCATCTTAACCTCACCCTGCTACATGATTAGTAATAGTTATTATCATATTCAAAATACACGAATGGAGCCAATGGGTTTTACAGGGAAACGTGAAAGGAAGGCTGTTTCAAGATGTTTATCCCGAGGTTCAGCACCCCACTTCGGTCCCATTTAGCTAACAATGCAGCAGAATAAAGGCTTTGGAAAACGTTTTCAGTTCTCGATTCTCAATGTACACAGTAGCAGGACACAAGCTCCATTGAAATAGTTAAGACGTGTAAATGACCTTCGACAATGCCCGAGAGATGGGCTGGCTAGTGGTAAATCATAGTTACAAAACATTTACAGACGATAGTCTCTGTAGCAAGTCAATGCATTAGGCTGTGTGAATCCAAAGTATATTTCAGAAGAAGTGCCTTCCGTGCCCGCCATGTCTGATGCCTATCTTCCCTGCCTGAATTGTTGTTGTGGTGTGCCTGATGCCTGCCGGCCCTGCCCGAATTGTTGTGGTGTGCCTGATGCCTGCCTGTCCTGTCTGAACTGTTGTGGTGTGCCTGATGCCTGCAGGCCCTGCCCGAATTGTTGTGGTGTGCCTGATGCCTGCCTGTCCTGCCTGAATTGTTGTGGTGTGCCTGATGCCTGCCTGTCCTGTCTGAACTGTTGTGGTGTGCCTGATGCCTGCAGGCCCTGCCCGAATTGTTGTGGTGTGCCTGATGCCTGCCTGTCCTGCCTGAATTGTTGTGGTGTGCCTGATGCCTGCCTGCCTTGCCCGAATTGTTGTGGTGTGCGTGATGCCTGCCTGCCTTGCCCGAATTGTTGTGGTGTGTGTGATGCCTGCCTGCCTTGCCTGAATTGCTGTGGTGTGCCTGATGCCTGCCTGCCTGTCCTGCCTGAATCATTGTGGTGTGCGTGACGTCCACCTGCCTTTACCGAATTGTTGTGGTGTGCCTGATGCCTGCCTGTCCTGCCTGAATTGTTGTGGTGTGCCTGATGCCTGTCGGCCCTGCCCGAATTGTTGTGGTGTGCGTGATGCCTGCCTGCCTTGCCCGAATTGTTGTGGTGTGTGTGATGCCTGCCTGCCTTGCCTGAATTGCTGTGGTGTGCCTGATGCCTGCCTGCCTGTCCTGCCTGAATCATTGTGGTGTGCGTGACGTCCACCTGCCTTTACCGAATTGTTGTGGTGTGCCGGATGCCTGCCTGCCTGAATTGTTGTGGTGTGCCTGATGCCTGCCTGCCCTGCCTGAATTGTTATGGCATGCCTGATGCTTGCCTGTTCTGCCTGAATTGTTGAGGTGTACCTGATGTCTGCCTGTCCTGCCTGAATTGTTGTGGTGTGCCTGATGCGTGTCCTGTCCTGTCTGAATTGTTGTGGTGTGCCTGATGCCTGCCGGCCCTGCCTGAACTGTTGTGGTGTGTCTGATGCCTGCCTGTCCTGCCTGAATTGTTGTGGTGTGCCTGATGCCTGCCTGTCCTGCCTGAATTGTTGTGGTGTGCCTGATGCCTGTCCTGCCTGAAATGTTGTGGTGTGCCTGATGCCTGCCTGCCCTGCCCGAATTGTTGTGGTGTCCCTGATGCCTGCCTGTCTTGCCTTAATTGCTGTGGTGTGCCTGATGCCTGCCGGTCCTGCCTGAATTGTTGTGGTGTGCCTGATGCCTGCCTGTCCTGCCTGAATTGTTGTGGTGTGCCCGATGCCTGCCTTGCCCGAATTGTTGTGGTGTGCCTGACGCCCACCTGCCTTGACTGAATTGTTGTGGTGTGTGTGATGCCTGCCTGCCTTGCCTGAATTGTTGCGGTGTGCCTGATGCCTGTCTCCCTGTCCTGCCTGAATCATTGTGGTGTGCGTGACGCCCACCAGCCTTGCCCGAATTGTTGTGGTGTGCCGGATGCCTGCCTGAATTGTTGTAGTGTGCCTGATGCCTGCCTGCCCTGCCCGAATTGTTGTGGTGTGCCTGATGCCTGCCTGTCCTGCCTGAATTGTTGTGGTGTGCCTGATGCCTGCCGGCCCTGCCCAAATTGTTGTGGTGTGCCTGATGCCTGCCTGTCCTGCCTGAATTGTTGTGGTGTGCCGGATGCCTGCCTGCCTGAATTGTTGTGGTGTGTCTGATGCCTGCCTGCCCTGTCTGAATTGTTATGGCATGCCTGATGCCTGCCTGTCCTGCCTGAATTGTTGAGGTGTGCCTGATGCCTGCCTGCCCTGCCTGAATTGTTGTGGTGTGCCTGATGCCTACCTGTCCTGCCTGAATTGTTGTGGTGTGCCTGATGCCTGTCCTGCCTGAATTGTTGCGGTGTGCCTGATGCCTGCCTGTCCTGCCTGAATTGTTGTGGTGTGCCTGATGCCTGTCCTGCCTGAATTGTTGTGGTGTGCCGGATGCCTGCCTGTCCTGCCTGAATTGTTGTGGTCTTCCTGATGCCTGCCTGCCTGAATTGTTGTGGTGTGCCTGATGCCTGCCTGCCTTGCCTGAATTGTTGTGGTGTGCCTGATGCCTGCCGATCCTGCCTGAATTGTTGTGGTGTGCCTGATGCCTGCCTGTCCTGCCTGAATTGTTGTGGTGTGCCTGATGCCTGCCTGCCTGAATTGTTGTAGTGTGCCTGATGCCTGCCTGCCTTGCCTGAATTGTTGCGGTGTGCCTGATGCCTGCCTGCCTTACCCAAATTGCTGTGGTGTACCTGATGCCTGTCCTGCCTGAATTGTTGTGGTGTGCCTGATGCCTGTCCTGCCCGAATTGTTCTGATGTACCTGATGCCTGCCTGTCCTGCCTGAATTGTTGTGGTGTGCCTGATGCCTGCCTGCCCTACCCGAATTGCTGTGGTGTGCCTGATGCCTGCCGGTCCTGCCTGAATTGTTGTGGTGTGCCTGATGCCTGCCTTGCCCGAATTGTTGTGGTGTGCCTGATGCCGGCCTTGCCTGAATTGTTGTGGTGCGCCTGATGCCTGCCCTGCCTTGCCCGAATTGTTGTGGTGTGCCTGATGCCTGCCTGCCTTGCCCGAATTGTTGTGGTATGTCTGATGCCTGCCTTGCCTGAATTGATGTGGTGTGCCTTATGCCTGCCTGCCTGTCCTGCCTGAATCGTTGTGGTTTGCGTGACGCCCACCTGCCTTGCCTGAATTGTTGTGGTGTGCCTCATGCCCACCTGCATGTCCTGCCTGGATTGTTGTGGTGTGTCCGATGCCTGTCTGCCCTGCCTTGATTGTTGCGGTGTGCCCGATGCCTGCCTGTCCTGCCTGTATTGTTGTGGTGTGATATTTGATGCCAAGGGACAAGTATGTATTGTCTTCAATTATGGCTTAGTTTATTAGGAAATACACAACACAACATCGCCAAACCTAACACTGTAAGAACAGAGTCAATAGTACACTGCCCTTGGTGGGGGCCATTACAATGTTTTGTAAAAACAAATGCGCACTGGTTGTCTGGATCATGTTAGGTGAGATGCATTTACTCTCTTCCTGTTTCCGATTCCATAAAGACCAAACAATCCCATATTCCCAATTAGCCAAGGGTAACCTTTTCGAATGGAAAGGAAAATATTTACACCTTAAACAATACTCATCGTCTTTGACTTGTGATCTATACACTGACCATCACAATCAAGTGTCATGCAAACATATTTGACCATGTGATTGTCATCAAACTGACCGCTGCATAAAACACCAATAGAACTTGACTTGAAAAGAAAACACAGATTTCTATGGCGTCTGTCACAGTTCTACTGCACCTGGCTCGGTTTGACCGTAGAAAGCGTCCAGTTTAGCTGTCCGGCCCAACAGGTCAAGCTTTGCCACCTGGAACACAAGCGTAATGCGATCCGTATGCCTGAATGGGCACTGGTCATTTATAAACAACACTGCACACGGCATCAATAGGTCATGTAGGTTTGGGCACAGATGGGAGTTGTCAGTGTTTGGCACTATGAAACTATGCATATGAGAGAGAGAGAGAGAGAGAGAGAGAGAGAGAGAGAGAGAGAGAGAGAGAGAGAGAGAGAGAGAGAGAGAGAGAGAGAGAGAGAGAGAGAGAGAGAGAGAGAGAGAGAGAGAGAGAGAGAGAGAGAGAGAGAGAGAGAGAGAGGAGGGAGAGAGAGAGAGAGAGAGAGAGAGAGAGTGTACAAAATACTATCCAGTCAAATTAATTGTAATTCTAGATATCTGTAAATAATACGAGGGTCAATGTTTCACCGTTATCACCGATAAGACACGGGTTGACTGGTACAGGTCTGTAAAATCAAAACGTCCCTTCAAAGAGTGATTCTGACTTCCCAGGCCTAAACAAAATATTATCTGTCCTGTAGTCTGTTCTTCACTCTTGAAGCGGACCTGGTATCGTTGTGTTTATGTCAGGAACAAAATGGTATATCGTCCGCTGCAACTAAATCAAATACGTATACAAAGTTGTCCTACGGCAGGGGTGTAAATTGTGGCCACGGCTGACCACAAATCAAATAACTCAATACAGATAGAGCAGCTGAACATTTCCACTAAATGTTCTGCTGAAAGCAATGTCTATCGCACGATTCTTACCGTATCATGAGCAGGTGTTTATGCATCTACCAGATAGTAATCTTTGATCACTTTATTCAGAATTGAAGGCCGTGTGGCCAAGAGTACAACAGGTAATACAACATTGTCATGGTGTGTGGAGTTGAAATATAATTCATAATACAATTATTTTAACGTAGGTTTTGCTTCAGGAATATACATATCCCTTTAAGAACAGTGACACTGTGTATCTTCATAAGGGCTCGGAATTTGACAATTTAAGGTGGGCTGTAGAAATAGGCTGTAATACATTGGGATCTGCATCGGTTATAAAATGGACACATTAGCAACAAGGGATATTCGTCTTCAAGCACGTTTAAAGTACATTTGTTACAAACTAATTCTTTATATGGGACAATTATCTTTGAAAAACGTTGTTTTTGTATATTCAAGTTATGTGATTGGCATCGGAATTTGACCAACATTCGCATAAGATCTTTGTTTAATGCGCCACAGGAAATATACAGTTCAGGTTCAAGAAGTGACTTAAATGTACTATAATTTACAAGAAATGATGAGTTTCTTATTTTACTATTCCAGTGTTGTATATTAATATCTATACAGCGTTGTTTGAACTCAAACAAGAAGTGATCTACATCGCCACAATCTTGGGCTAACCAGACATAGGAGAAACCTATAGTAAATAGAAGCATTCGAGATAGTAATGACACTAGGCATTCCCACACCCTGTCCCACCTGCCTCACTCGTCACAAAAACATGCAAAAGTAAGTCAGTTGTAAAACATGGAAACATGTAGTACAAGTCAAAATTGTTAATTACATCGGACATTTACTTTGTCAGTGATGCGTCACATATACGTGCTGTTCACTCCATGTCCTTCCTATCGCAGCTAACGCACAACGTGTTGTGGGAAGGTTGTAGATTGGTAATGGCATGACACAAACTTAGTATTACGTCATTGTATAACGTTATGTCACAACGTAATAACAACGCTGCAAATGTACGTAGAGGAAACGTTATGCTTTCAGTTTCTCACAACGTTATGAACAACGTTTCTTATAATTTGTCACGATGGAGTTTTCTGTAAAATTTTCACTTGAGATTCTTTCTTCCCAATTCAGCTACAGCTACAGACGACCAAAACAACATGCAAACTGACGAATATATATTGAACTGATTTGTTGCTTTGTTTGTTATGTACTGTTCACTACTGGGAAAACTATTCAGCTATTAACTTATGTGACGTCACTCCATTGTTTTGCACTATACCAAAACCAGCAAGTAAGTAAAGTGATATTTCTATTTATGGCGAGTGCTTTCTACCGCAGATAGAACGCGACTCAGTGCTTTCTACCGCAGATAGAACGGGCAGAAAGAACAGTTGTTTTAATGTTACCAAATACATCTACGGCAGATAGACCTTAAAACAGAATAATCACTTTACATCAAGACATCTAATGATAGTTATCAGAATTGTATTGACTTAAAATAAAACTCAACTAAAGTGGGTTTTTTCTATTTCTCCAAATAATTTCACTAAGAAAAATTGAAAGAAAACGAAAAGAAACGCTTGTCGCCTTCCTTCCTGCCGTCGCCACCGTTGTCTCCATCTTTCCTGCCGTCGCCACCGTTGTCACCATCTTTCCTGCCGTCGCCACCACCATCCTTTCTGCCGTCGCAATTTCTCCCATCGCAGCCTTTGGACGTTTTACCATAGCGAACATCAGATATGTTTGCTTGCATAACTGTACTTGTTCTTTTGTAAGATCTTACAACTTCGGTGACCTGTTAAAAGAGATAAGTTTACATTATGATTTGTATGTTTTGAAAAAACACCCCACATAACTTTCACAAGGAAGATATTCTTGCATAGATTATGCTTACAGGTGCATCGCACAGCCATTTTAAGTGAAGAGCTAGTAAAATACTCAACAAAAAGCAAACTCCTGAAAGTTTTATACAATACCTATGCTCTGCAAAGAATGCCTATATAGGAAGTGAAAATACATTTAATTATATCCTTTGAAAATAGACTAGTGAATTTCCTAACTATCCTAGCACCTGAAATATGTAACACTGCGACAGCATATTGTCTGTCGGCTATGCAAAAAAGCGCATTCTCATGTAATGAACTAGTGAAAGTAACATTGTGCTCAGCGCAAACAGGGTTCTGAATAGTAATAGCAAAAACTTACATGTTATTTCCCAAACGTTACCTATCAGGTAAAGCGTAAATTAATTATGCTATTCTGTTAAATAGTATTACCTGTCTGTTCGCATATGAGCTGTTCGTCAACTTTTGCATCAAACAGTCTCGTCGCAGCCGATACCCTCAAAGAATGGTTGTTGTTTTTCCCCTGCTTTTCCCGCTTTCTCGCACATCCTTTTAACCGCGGTTTTGAGAGTGTTGATACCAACTGGAGACGCCATAAACCAGCAGTCAGACTTGACAATCTTGAGGGGAGCGAGGTAGAAAGCATCATGTTTGCAAGTTTTCGGGCTGAAACATAAGATAATGTGGCATTTCTTGAAAACAATGCTGATTTTTTGTTAAAAAAGATTTTAAGTTTTGTAAGCTTTTGTAGACCGATATATAAAGAGGATATCGTCAAAATTCTAAATGCATTTTTTGTGTTAAAAATTGGATTTGAATTATGAACATTGTCAAACAAAACTTAATAAATACCCAAGTATTACATTAATGAGCTCTTGAATTAAAATTCAATTTGTAGCTTCAATATTACATTAAACACTTACCATAATGAGGTATACTTCTCCCAAAGGTGCACATAACAGCGGTTCTTGTTCTGCTGGTTGTCAAATGCTTTAACTATTTTCGGCTCAGCTTTCTTGTGTTTTGACCTCCCGAGTTCGCCTTTGATACATCCTCACGGTACAGCATGTACCTGCGTCCGGTGCAGTCATCCGTGAATGGCCCGGTAATTTGGGGCTTGTTGTACAGACGTAGGTTTCTGTGTTCTTGTCCGCCTCTGAGCGCAAACTGTAGGCCATTCAAACATAGCATAGTGTGAAGTAACTGCTCTGTGTTTGAGTCGCCAAGAATACCTTTTTCCCATAGCGTTTCTTCCTCGTCGATGGTGATGGGCCGGCACTGTTCCCGCGTTCCCGGTTCATACCCTGTTGAAGCAAGTTCCTTCATAGCGGCATCAAGCGCCCCAACAGTCCCTTTAAAGGCCTCGTCCTCAAATAGATTGATTGATTTGCCCATTCGCCTCATATACCCCTGTATTCCACAGACCAAACCATAGAGAGATTGCAATTTGTACTTAGTCCCATCTTCCTTTCTAGCTTCAAATACAAAGCACTGCAGAGCTTCGTTTACCGTATCGAAATCCATGTTCAAAATTGGTGTTGTTAAGCATTCCTTCGACAGAACAAGGTTATCAGCGATAGAAAGAAGTAGTCTATTATTTTGCCAATTTCGAAAGCTCGATACTGCCCACTCGTTTTTATATTTAGTGTTTGTTGGAACTGCATTTTTTTTGAAACGTTCCTACTTTTTCTTTGAATTGTTTCTATGTCAAATGTTGCTGGTAAATGTTTTCGAGCTTCATCCACACTTACATCAAGTTCTTCCTGAGAAAATCGACTCTGTGTCAAAAACACATCCTCGTCGCTGTCCATCATGTTCGCTAGTCAGTACACAGGTATGAGCGGCGCGCACATGCAATGCGCGCTTTATAGGCTGTTGGAGCACGTGACAAAGGATCAGTCAACTATCTACGGGGTATGCTAGGTGTTTGAAACAATTCATATATATCGAACGGATAACATGTTTAATATTATTTTGATTCGTTTTATAAGACAGTTGAGGTACGAAGATGAGTTCTTTATGGCTGTAGAAAGAACTCGGGGTGTGCAGGGTGGGCCAGATAGAGCTCTTCGCCGTCGTTCTATCTGGCCCACCCTGCACACCCCGAGTTCTTTCTACAGCCATAAAGAACTCATCTTCGTACCTTAAGCTTTACGTAAAATACTTTAGCGTCAAATAACTTAACCTTGTGGCAACGTAAAAATGACGTATCACACCGTCAGGCTACAACGTTGTGACAACGTAAATGGGAGTCCACAGAATAACGCTGTAGCAACGAAAGCATAACGTTGTGACAACGTGAAATTGTTAGTTGGGATGTGTGTATTATTTAATAAACCACTGTTTCCAGTGATCCAAGCACAGACAGGCTTGTGAAGGTCATCATCATCTCAGGGCCCTTGATACTTTTACATCGAATGGGACTTCTCCCAGGAATGGCTGTCCTAGTCGAACTCACCAAGAAGCAAATAGAAACTCCCAGCACAGACAATTCAGTTAAATAAATAAATTTATCGGTTTTATCAAATGGAAGGTAGGAATTTTCTTAGGCTGTATATGGGCCTATTGCAAAGAAGTTTAAAGGAATGATGTTACATGACGCCCTGTACATGTGTACACCTATGGGTGACCACAGGCATGGCGAAGACGGTAGTAGAAGCAACGAGCCATGCCATCATGTCGTTTTTGACGTGATATGATGTAATATATGCTGGAAGTAGGAGTCAAAGCTACGGGCAGGGCGAAGATGGTAGTAGAAGAAACGAGCCATGCCATCATGTCGTTTAAGATATGCTGTTTGTCCCAAGGAAGGACAACCACTGAATAGGCTTTGGACACTCTCTGTGAATTCATTGCACAATCGACATTTCATGTTATTATGTTTTTAAGAATCATATTTTGGCGATTGCGAGTGGTAAGTGACCTGTCCTGGGCAGCAAAAAGGAAGACGGCGTCTGTTTCACTTTGAAGACCAGCTGACTTGATCCAGTCGAAGGACTCGGTTGCATTGCTATTCTGTTCGACACATGGCATATATAGTGTACTTGTGATGAAAGTGAGGTTTTAAAGGTGAGGTCCGTGCACATGTTCAGAGTCGTGTTATGGATGGAAGTAGGAGTCAAAGCTACGGGTATGGCGAAGAGGGTAGTAGAAGCAACGAGCCATACCATCGTGTCGTTTAAGATATGATGTTTGTGCCAAGGAAGGGCATCCAGTGAAAACGTGTTTAACATTCTCAACTAATTATCACAATTATTGGTAAGCGAGAGAACTCGTCATTGAGCAGCGTTTTAATATTTTGCGTTGCGTGCACAAGTGTTTTGAAGCATGCATTCTGTGGAGGAATTTGAGTACCTCCTTTAGGTAAATATTAAAGTATAAAAAGATTATTACCGTACACATACCCTTTGCCACCACAAGTTATGGGTATTTCAGGTACTTGGTGAATTAGTGATCTACCAATCACTGACAACATTGTCTTTTCATTTTCACGTCTGGAGTGTCTCTGGGACTCTTGGTTATACCTTTCGTAAATCAGATACCTTCCATTCAGTGTCTTCAGGAAACATCTTCCAATCCCTGTTATGTGTACCCCATAATCAGCATTGTTGTTTAAACCTTTGCTGATTTAACTCTGTGTAGTGTGACATAATACCACGTCTTCCATGTATCTAACTCTGTGAAGTGTGACATAATACCACGTCTTCCATGTATCTAACTCTGTGAAGTGTGACATAATACCACGTCTTCCATGTATCTAACTCTGTGAAGTGTGACATAATACCACGTCTTCCATGTATCTAACTCTGTGAAGTGTGACATAATACCACGTCTTCCATGTATCTAACTCTGTGAAGTGTGACATAATACCACGTCTTCCATGTATCTAACTCTGTGAAGTGTGACATAATACCACGTCTTCCATGTATCTAACTCTGTGAAGTGTGACATAATACCACGTCTTCCATGTATCTAACTCTGTGAAGTGTGACATAATACCACGTCTTCCATGTATCTAACTCTGTGAAGTGTGACATAATACCACGTCTTCCATGTATCTAACTCTGTGAAGTGTGACATAATACCACGTCTTCCATGTATCTAACTCTGTGAAGTGTGACATAATACCACGTCTTCCATGTATCTAACTCTGTGAAGTGTGACATAATACCACGTCTTCCATGTATCTAACTCTGTGAAGTGTGACATAATACCACGTCTTCCATGTATCTAACTCTGTGAAGTGTGACATAATACCACGTCTTCCATGTATCTAACTCTGTGAAGTGTGACATAATACCACGTCTTCCATGTATCTAACTCTGTGTAGTGTGACATAATACCACGTCTTCCATGTATCTAACTCTGTGAAGTGTGACATAATACCACGTCTTCCATGTATCTAACTCTGTGAAGTGTGACATAATACCACGTCTTCCATGTATCTAACTCTGTGTGAAGTGACATAATACCACGTCTTCCATGTATCTAACTCTGTGTAGTGTGACATAATACCACGTCTTCCATGTATCTAACTCTGTGGTACGTGTGACATAATACCACTGTCTTCCATGTATCTAACTCTGTGTAGTGTGACATAATACCACGTCTTCCACGTATCTAACTCTGTGTAGTGTGACATAATACCATCGCTCCTATGTATCTAACTCTGTGTGAGTGTGACATAATACCACGTCTTCCATGTATCCTCTGTGTATGTGACATCTTCCATGTATCTAACTCTGTGAAGTGTGACATAATACCACGTCTTCCATGTATCTAACTCTGTGAAGTGTGACATAATACCACGTCTTCCATGTATCTAACTCTCAGAAGTGTGACATAATACCACGTCTTCCCATGTATCTAACTCTGTGTGAAGTGTGACATAATACCACGTCTTCCATGTATCTAACTCTGTGAAGTGTGACATAATACCACGTCTTCCATGTATCTAACTCTGTGAAGTGTGACATAATACCACGTCTTCCATGTATTTACTCTGTGAAGTGTGACATAATACCACGTCTTCCATGTATCTAACTCTGTGTAGTGTGACATAATACCACGTCTTCCATGTATCTAACTCTGTGAAGTGTGACATAATACTCACGTCTTCCATGTATCTAACTCTGTGAAGTGTGACATAATACCACGTCTTCCATGTCTAACTCCATAATACCATCGTATGTATCTAACTCTGTGAAGTGTGACATAATACCACGTCTTCCATGTATCTAACTCTGGTCGCGAGTGTGACATAATACCACGTCTCCATGTATCTAACTCTGTCTTCCATGTATCTAACTCTCAGAAGTGACATAATACCACGTCTTCCATGTATCTAACTCTGTGAAGTGTGACATAATACCACGTCTTCCATGTATCTAACTCTGTGAAGTGTGACATAATACCACGTCTTCCATGTATCTAACTCTGTGAAGTGTGACATAATACCACGTCTTCCATGTATCTAACTCTGTGAAGTGTGACATAATACCACTAACTTCTGTAGTCTTTCCATGTATCTAACTCTGTGAAGTGTGACATAATACTACGTCTTCCATGTATCTAACTCTGTGAACTGTGACATAATACCACGTATTCCATGTATCTAACTCTGTGAAGTGTGACATAATACCACGTCTTCCATGTATCTAACTCTGTGTACGTGTGTTGATCAACACATAAAAAACGACATTGCTATTTGCTTCATTTCAAATACTTGGGAAGGAGATATTCATCTTTGATAGATCAAAGATTAATTTGACGAAATGATGGCATTGACGTGATCTTGACATAATAGAGATATTAACAACAAAAGAGAGACTTAAATCTGTTTGTGTAGACCAAGTCCCTCTGTCGTTTAGAGTCTATCGTCAGCAAAATGCAGTAAACATATGAGGATCTATTTATTTGGATGAACTAATCAGCCAGTGAGAAATGAGTAAATTCATCACTGTCAGGGTGTTTCCATATCTATAGTGTTCTGATTCTAAGCCTGCTATGAAATATGAAACCGATCGTTTTGTATACAAATATTCAAAAATGTGTTTATGTATGAATGATATTCGTTTGACAATCACCTTTTGAGACTGGACAACCATTCATAACTGAACTGAGAAGCCCACATTTCTGCGTGTCGAAAGTTTGCACTTGAGTGCCACCTCACCACCACCCACCGCCATCCCCTGCTCCCACCCTCACACCGGCTTCACATCCAGTCTCACGCCATCCCCTGCTCCCACTCTCACACCGGCTTCACATCCAGTCTCACGCCATCCCCTGCTCCCACCCTCCCACCGGCCTCAAGTCCACGCTCACTACGGCGTCACGTCCACTCTCACCGCCATCGCCTGCTCCCACCCTCACCCGGGCTCAAGTCCACCCTCACCGCCATCCCCTGCTCCCAACCTCACCCCACCCTCACGTCCACCCTCACCGCCATCCCCTGCTCCCACCCTCAACCTGGTTTCACGTCCACCCTCACCACTGCGTCACGTCCATTCTCACCGCCATCCCTTGCTCCCACCCTCACACCGGCCTCACGTCCACCCTCACCGCCATCGCCTGCTCCCACCCTCACACCGGCCTCACGTCCACCCTCACCCCGGCCTCACGTTCACCCTCACCGCCATCCCCTGCTCCCACCCTCACACCGGCCTCACGTCCACCCTCACCCCGGCCTCACGTCCACCCTCACCGCCATCCCCTGCTCCCACCCTCACACCGGCCTCACGTCTGCCCTCACCGCCATCCCCTGCTCCCACTCTCACCCCGGCCTCACGTCCACCCTCACCGCCATCCCCTGCTCCCACTCTCACCCTGGCCTCAAGTCCACCCTCACCGCAATTCCCTGCTCCCACCCTCAACTTGGTCTCACGTCCACCCTCACCACGGCGTCACGTCCACTCTCAACCCGGCCTCACGTCCACCCTCATCAGGCATCCCCTGCTCCCACCCTCACCCCGGCCTCACGTCCATCCTAACCACCATCCCCTGCTCCCACCCTCACCCCGGCCTCACGTCCACCCTCACCGCCATCGCCTGCTCCCACCCTCACCTGCCTCAAGTCCACCCTCACCGCCATCCCCTGCTCCCACTCCTCACCCCCAGCCTCACGCCTCACCCTCACCGCCATCCCCTGCTCCCAACCTCACCCCACCCTCACGTCCACCCTCACCTCCATCCCCTTGTTCCCCCTGGCCTTGTGCCCTACCCTCACCCCACCCTCACGCACCCTCACCTCCATCCCCTGCCCTCCCACCCCCTCACCCCACCCTCACGTCCACCCCTCACCTCCATCCCCTTGTTCCCACCCTCACCCCACCCTCACGTCCACCCTCACCTCCATCCCCTTGTTCCCACCCTCACCCCACCCTCACGTCCACCCTCACCTCCATCCCCTGCTCCTACCCTCACCCCGGGCCTCACGTCCACCCTCACCGCCATCCCCTGCTCCCCACCCTCACCCCGGCCTCACGCTCACCCTCACCGCCATCCGCTCCCACCCCACCCTGGCCTCACGTCCACCCTCACGTCCATCCCCTGCGCCCCTCACCTCCATCCACCCCTCTGGCATCCCACTCCCCTCACCCCGGCCTCACGTCCACCCCTCACCTCCACCCCTGCCCCACTCTCACCTGCCTCGGCCCACGTCCACCCTCACCTCCATCCCCTGCTCCCACCCTCACCCCTGGCCTCCGTCCACCCTCACCGCCATCCCCCTGCTCCCACCCCTCACCCCGGCCTCACGTCCACCCTCACCCCACTTCACTCCCACGCCACCCTCACCGGCATCCCCTGCGCCTCACGTCCACCCCCTCACCGGGCATCCCCTGCCCCACCCTCACCCCTGGCCTCACGTCCACCCTCACCTCCATCCCCTGGTGCCCACTCTCTCCCCCTGGCCTCACGTCCACCCTCCCGTCCCCTGTTCACCCTCACCCCTCCCGGCCCTCACCCCCCAGCCTCCACCCTCACCGCCATCCCCTGCCTCAAGCTGCGCCCACTCCCTCACCCCAGCCCCACGTCCACCCCTCACCGCCATCCCCTTGCTCCCACCCTCACCCTGGCCCCTCACGTCCACCCTCACCGCCATCCCCTGCGCCCACCTCACCCCGGCCTCACGTCCACCCTCACCTCCATCCCCTTGCTCCCACCCTAACCCTGGCCTCACGTCCACCCTCACCGCCATCCCCTGCGCCCACTCTCTCAAACCGGCCTCACGTCCACCCCTCACCGCCATCCCCTGCGCCCACCCTCTCACCCCACGTCCCCCCCACCATCACGTCCACCCACCCCTCACCCACCCTCACCTTCTCCCACCCTCACCCCGGCCTCACGTCCACCCTCACCTCCATCCCCTGCGCCCACTCTCACCCCGGCCTCACGTCCACCCTCACCTCCATCCCCTGCGCCCACTCTCACCCCAGCCTCACGTCCACCATCACCGCCATGCCCTTCTCCCACCCTCACCCCGACCTCACGTCAAAGCCAACTCATTATTACGAAAATCCTCCGGCAATGTCTATACCGTCATATCTAAACGCGAATTGTTTCTGGGGTTTATAGTCTCCCCTTCTCTCCGACCCCCTGTCACACGCGTAGTATGCAAACAACCAATACATCACACTTGATAAAAGAGATGTCAAACGTTAACCGTTAGGGCTATGTCACCCAAATGCCGCCATGTTGTACTTAAATGCTCGTTGTGTTTCGTCAAATAACGGCTTAGCAAGTTGGAGAGAGCGACCTTATATCTGCCATAAAGCATACACTACAAGCTTTAAAAAAATTGTTTACCGACTGGATTCTGCATAAAAGTCATAACTGTTTTCAGATGATTTCTTGCGAGGGTACCAACGGAGCAAGGTGTGATACATCACTCTGTAAGTGTGCATTTCTGAAATAGTCATCGCCGGATCATTGGTCAAGTTATTCGCATGCTGTACTTTTCAGCTGCACAGGCTTTAATTATGAACGGCGTGTATAAACATTGTGTATAATACATTGTGTTTTGTTCTACCCTCACCCCATTGACGCAAGATGAAGATATTTATATTCCTACGTCTGCGGTACTTAACAACAGTCACCAGGAGATGACATAGCACCCTGCCATCCCAACCCCTTTACACTGACACCCCACCTCAATGGGGTTTGGCTACTTATACCACACGTTGGGATACCTTCAGTTAAGAGAAGAAAACAATAATACCCTTCAGTATTTTTAAACATCCCAAATCATCAAGTAGCTTCAGATCACCGCTAGACTGATCTGTATAGCAAGTTTTATCAAGAAATGTTGTGGGGTTATGAAGTTATGCTCCGGTAAAGAGCAACGTCGTCATTTTCAGTAAATACAGGGAAAATATGACAAACACAAATCTCAAATCAAGCAAAGACGTTCGTTCAAGGAAAGGCGGATCAGTATAAATTGTTTTGCCAAGAAATATTCAACTTTTGAGAGATTCCGGAAACGGATATTTCAGTGTACATCGTCATAAAAAAATATAAGTGCTCCATGCTCTTTATGCGAGTTATTCCTTTAGCATCAGGTTATCCTTTGATAACTTACTCGGAGCTTAAAGTCAATATGAGATGCAACAGGAAACCAGTGTAGGGATTTATAGATACGAGTTATGTGATCTGAATAACTCGTATACACAATAACTTCGGTGACCTCAGTTGAACCAGACACCATATAATAGATCATATGGTCTCTGGTTGAACCGAGCGGTGTTTGGACAGAACCACTGGAGATAGGAACTATAGTAAGCAATACGATACCATGACTTTGTGGAATAATGTTTTCCTTTTCTCTCCTTAGTTTTACAAGCTACAGGGTTGCACTTGGATTGTACCAATCGACAATCATCGACCGTATGCACATACAATATTTGGACGAATGTACCTGATGTCTGAGGTACAGGTGGTGGAAGTGTATTTGAGGGCTAGAAATCGTGAATAGATCTGAATAACACAACCGAGAACACGTTTGTGACACGAGAGCAGGTCTCTAGAAGACAGTCGAGGTCGCGGGATCATGTACCTTCGAAAGAGTTATCAAGCTAAAAGTGAATACAACCAGATGTAGAGGGGTATGTATACACAGTATGTTTTTGACAACAGCAGATTAACATTAACAACAACATGTAATTGAATAACAACTGGTACATAATTATGAGAGGCCAGTGGGAGACTAAGAACAACAAATGAGACTGGGAATATATACCCCTCTACATCTGGTTGTATTCACTTTTAGCTTGATAACGATGTAAGAATCTACATCGAAAGGTCGCTCTTTGCAATAAATAAGAAGTTGTCATCCATAAAGTTGTATGTTTCAGTTTTGAGTCACCAACTTCTAGAATGCCCATCAAACAATTAATTAGAGTATAGATGAGAGTTGACAAAAACATCAGGCAATCCGCACTTACAGAGAATATATTAATATGACTTAACCAGACATACAATGTAGTTATTCGATGTTTTGTTTTGTTTAGTAAAATATTGAAGAATAAAAGCTGCTATTTTGTTATTTGGATGTGATAATGTCAATTTACACCAATACGAACTTAGTCGTGTCGAAATTTGAAGCTGAATATGTGCCCTACCAAGATCCCCGTACACCATGACATTAGGGGTGTTATCTTTTAAACCAGTAGCTAATTTAAGAAATTTTGGATGTACTCTTTCTATCATGTCAGTCTACTCATGTCCCCATATTTCACATCCATACATCAATATTGGTACTACTAATTTGTCAAATGCTGGAAGGAGCAGGCCCAGTGGCAATTTAACATTTCTAGCTCGTTTTAGTAGCGCTATTGATGCCTTCATACCGAGATCGGCTATGTGTTTAACAGCAAAATTCATACGACCATTTCTGTGTAGTAAAGTTCCCAGGTATTTATAAGTGTCTACAACTTCTATCTTATTATCATATAGTACAAACGATTTCATATAATTAGCTGCAGGTCCGGAACCAAAAACAATAATCTTAGTCCTACTAATATTTACTTTAAGTTTCCATGTGTCGCAATATACAACCAATGTATCCAGTGTATGTTGTAAATCAACATGAGTTTCAGCTAAGAGGACTGCATCGTGAGCATAAAGTAGAACTAACAATTTTAAGTAAATAATAAACTCATCATTATTTGATTCTAATTCAATAACAACACATGCTTGTTCTTCTAGGTGGGATTCTAGGTAATTTAGAAAAAGGGAAAGCAAAAGAGGAGACACGTTTTCTCCTTGCCTAACACCTGAAAGACAATCAAAGAAATCTGATTCTACCATAACGCAGGATGTATATGAAGCATTCTTACGTTCCAAAAGCATTGTTGCCATGCTTATCTAACACTGTTTCTATACTGAAGGACATAATATTGTGTGTTTAGTACGAGTTGCAAAGTAACATCCCGCAGACTTCAGCAGTTATATTCAAATGTTATTGCTGAATCAAAAACCTCTAGATTCTAGCAAAAAGGTAGAAAAAAGCTGGCTCAACTTCAAAGATTGTTTATTAAATCTTGTAATTGCGATTATTTTGGACAATGTTGTTTCTTATAATATAAGGAACAGTGAAACTTCCGGCTTATTCATATAAAGACTCTCTGTCAGGGTTAATCTCTTCCAGGGAACATTGCTTGACAATATTCTTTCTGGCACGGCAGTTCCTTTTATTTTATTAAAACTGTAAAACTGACAGTCTACCAAACCACGAGGACGATAGACAGCCTCTCTTTCTGAGCGCGAAGCCAACCAGGGTGAGTGCCATCTCAGGCAAGTAACCCTGGTTCTTGATGACCGTTCCTCTTCAGTCACATGTGGCAGAGTTGGAGGGAAGAGAGGCATTCTGAGTGGTTTGGCCAACCCCATTGTTTGTCGGCGGAAATGTCAATTAGCAAAACTAGTATAGACGTGAGTGTCAAGATTGACTACAGTGCTCAATTGCTGTGACGTCTGTCAGCAAAGAAGAATACCAAAATGACAATTCATGCAAGTGTAAAAAAGTATTAAGGTTCAGGCGAGGCTCGAACTCGCGGCCGTCTGCGTGTGAAGCAGACGTGATAACCACTACACCACTGAACCTCAGCTACGACAAGCAGGCGTATTTGACAAGACCTATACCTGCCGCTGACACTGACGCAGCACGGCAAGCTGAGGATATGCTGAGGGCCCACGTACATGTCTAAAAGGAGAGAAGTAAGATAGAATTGATCTGTAACAAGCCCGCTTCACCTGTGGTGGGTTACAAGCTGAGATAGAGGGATGTGCTTATTGCCCAAAAAATAATGCAACCCTTCAAAAAACATAAGGTTTTGGTGAGACTCGAACTCGCGGCCTTCTGCGTGTTAAGCAGACGTGATAACCACTACACCACGGAACCACATGCACACAATAGGAGAAACTAGCTAAATCTCTTCCAGGTGATATTGCTTGAGCGTATTCTTTTCCGGCACTGACTTTCCTTTTATTGGTTTGAACATAACATATCCAAAACACAACTTTGCACAATAGAAACATGAGTCGAAGCTTATTTGATCACAAATTGGGAGGCTAATTAAGGTGTAATGTTGTGCAATCACACAAAGTTTCCGTCTGCTTCTCCCAGCTTGGAAGTTAACACTGGAGCAGTCACAATCACAGTCACGGTCAATGGGAGCTAACCACCAAGACGTTGTAATCACAAAACAATTTACATCGACAAAACACCTGATCAGTTGACGTTGTCTGTCCTCTGTATGTTTTTACAGCTAATCACAAACGTGGAATGAATTCAAAGCGCGCACAGGTGGCCCTTTCTGTGACAGAATAACGTGGTGAAGATTTTTGCAAACGTTTACCAACAACGATACGGGCTATTGCATACCACACTGGCGCGCTTTTGAAAAGAAGTAGGTACAACGTCCGCCGTGGAGTAGTTAAGATCATACTTTTAGGATCATTTCTATAGTATGCATCGCCATGACTTCAGGTAAAACTGACAGTCTACCAAACCACGAGGACGATAGACAGCCTCTTTTCTGAGCGCGAAGCCAACCAGGGTGAGTGCCATCTCAGGCAAGTAACCCTGGTTCTTGATGACCGTTCCTCCCAGTCACATGTGGCAGAGTTGGAGGGAAGAGAGGCATTCTGAGTGGTTTGGCCAACCCCATTGTTTGTCCGCGGAAATGTCAATTAGCAAAACTAGTATAGACGTGAGTGTCAAGATTGACTACAGTGCTCAATTGCTGTGACGTCTGTCAGCAAAGAAGAATACCAAAATGACAATTCATGCAAGTGTAAAAAAGTATTAAGGTTCAGGCGAGGCTCGAACTCGCGGCCTTCTGCGTGTGAAGCAGACGTGATAACCACTACACCACTGAACCTCAGCTACGACAAGCAGGCGTATTTGACAAGACCTATACCTGCCGCTGACACTGACGCAGCACGGCAAGCTGAGGATATGCTGAGGGCCCACGTACATGTCTAAAAGGAGAGAAGTAAGATAGAATTGATCTGTAACAAGCCCGCTTCACCTGTGGTGGGTTACAAGCTGAGAAAGAGGGATGTGCTTATTGCCAAAAAAATAATGCAACCCTTCAAAAAAAAACTAAACATAAGGTTCCGGCGAGGCTCGAACTCGCGGCCTTCTGCGTGTTAAGCAGACGTGATAACCACTACACCACGGAACCACATGCACACAATAGGAGAAACTAGCTAAATCTCTTCCAGGTGATATTGCTTGAGCGTATTCTTTTTTGGCACTGACTTTCCTTTTATTGGTTTGAACATAACATATCCAAAACACAACTTTGCACAATAGAAACATGAGTCGAAGCTTATTTGATCACAAATTGGGAGGCTAATTAAGGTGTTATGTTGTGCAATCACACAAAGTTTCCGTCTGCTTCTCCCAGCTTGGAAGTTAACACTGGAGCAGTCACAATCACAGTCACGGTCAATGGGAGATAACCACCAAGACGTTGTAATCACAAAACAATTTACATCGACAAAACACCTGATCAGTTGACGTTGTCTGTCCTCTGTATGTTTTTTACAGCTAATCACAAACGTGGAATGAATTCAAAGCGCGCACAGGTGGCCCTGTCTGTGACAGAATAACGTGGTGAAGATTTTTGCAAACGTTTACCAACAACGATACGGGCTATTGCATACCACACTGGCGCGCTTTTTGAAAAGAAGTAGGTACAACGTCCGCCGTGGAGTAGTTAAGATCATACTTTTAGGGATCATTTCTATAGTATGCATCGCCATGACTTCAGGTAAAACTGACAGTCTACCAAACCACGAGGACGATAGACAGCCTCTCTTTCTGAGCGCGAAGCCAACCAGGGTGAGTGCCATCTCAGGCAAGTAACCCTGGTTCTTGATGTCACATGTGGCAGAGTTGGAGGGAAGAGAGGCATTCTGAGTGGTTTGGCCAACCCCATTGTTTGTCCGCGGAAATGTCAATTAGCAAAACTAGTATAGACGTGAGTGTCAAGATTGACTACAGTGCTCAATTGCTGTGACGCCTGTCAGCAAAGAAGAATACCAAAATGACAATTCATGCAAGTGTAAAAAAGTATTAAGGTTCAGGCGAGGCTCGAACTCGCGGCCTTCTGCGTGTGAAGCAGACGTGATAACCACTACACCACTGAACCTCAGCTACGACAAGCAGGCGTATTTGACAAGACCTATACCTGCCGCTGACACTGACGCAGCACGGCAAGCTGAGGATATGCTGAGGGCCCACGTACATGTCTAAAAGGAGAGAAGTAAGATAGAATTGATCTGTAACAAGCCCGCTTCACCTGTGGTGGGTTACAAGCTGAGAAAGAGGGATGTGCTTATTGCCCAAAAAATAATGCAACCCTTCAAAAAACATAAGGTTTCGGTGAGGCTCGAACTCGCGGCCTTCTGCGTGTTAAGCAGACGTGATAACCACTACACCACGGAACCACATGCACACAATAGGAGAAACTAGCTAAATCTCTTCCAGGTGATATTGCTTGAGCGTATTCTTTTCCGGCACTGACTTTCCTTTTATTGGTTTGAACATAACATATCCAAAACACAACTTTGCACAATAGAAACATGAGTCGAAGCTTATTTGATCACAAATTGGGAGGCTAATTAAGGTGTAATGTTGTGCAATCACACAAAGTTTCCGTCTGCTTCTCCCAGCTTGGAAGTTAACACTGGAGCAGTCACAATCACAGTCACGGTCAATGGGAGATAACCACCAAGACGTTGTAATCACAAAACAATTTACATCGACAAAACACCTGATCAGTTGACGTTGTCTGTCCTCTGTATGTTTTTACAGCTAATCACAAACGTGGAATGAATTCAAAGCGCGCACAGGTGGCCCTGTCTGTGACAGAATAACGTGGTGAAGATTTTGCAAACGTTTACCAACAACGATACGGGCTATTGCATACCACACTGGCGCGCTTTTGAAAAGAAGTAGGTACAACGTCCGCCGTGGAGTAGTTAAGATCATACTTTTAGGGATCATTTCTATAGTATGCATCGCCATGACTTCAGGTAAAACTGACAGTCTACCAAACCACGAGGACGATAGACAGCCTCTCTTTCTGAGCGCGAAGCCAACCAGGGTGAGTGCCATCTCAGGCAAGTAACCCTGGTTCTTGATGACCGTTCCTCCCAGTCACATGTGGCAGAGTTGGAGGGAAGAGAGGCATTCTGAGTGGTTTGGCCAACCCCATTGTTTGTCCGCGGAAATGTCAATTAGCAAAACTAGTATAGACGTGAGTGTCAAGATTGACTACAGTGCTCAATTGCTGTGACGTCTGTCAGCAAAGAAGAATACCAAAATGACAATTCATGCAAGTGTAAAAGTATTAAGGTTCAGGCGAGGCTCGAACTCGCGGCCTTCTGCGTGTGAAGCAGACGTGATAACCACTACACCACTGAACCCTCAGCTACCACAAGCAGGCGTATTTGACAAGACCTATACCTGCCGCTGACACTGACGCAGCACGGCAAGCTGAGGATATGCTGAGGGCCCACGTACATGTCTAAAAGGAGAGAAGTAAGATAGAATTGATCTGTAACAAGCCCGCTTCACCTGTGGTGGGTTACAAGCTGAGAAAGAGGGATGTGCTTATTGCCCAAAAAATAATGCAACCCTTCAAAAAAATAACATAAGGTTCCGGCGAGGCTCGAACTCGCGGCCTTCTGCGTGTTAAGCAGACGTGATAACCACTACACCACGGAACCACATGCACACAATAGGAGAAACTAGCTAAATCTCTTCCAGGTGATATTGCTTGAGCGTATTCTTTTCCGGCACTGACTTTCCTTTTATTGGTTTGAACATAACATATCCAAAACACAACTTTGCACAATAGAAACATGAGTCGAAGCTTATTTGATCACAAATTGGGAGGCTAATTAAGGTGTAATGTTGTGCAATCACACAAAGTTTCCGTCTGCTTCTCCCAGCTTGGAAGTTAACACTGGAGCAGTCACAATCACAGTCACGGTCAATGGGAGATAACCACCAATACGTTGTAATCACAAAACAATTTACATCGACAAAACACCTGATCAGTTGACGTTGTCTGTCCTCTGTATGTTTTTACAGCTAATCACAAACGTGGAATGAATTCAAAGCGCGCACAGGTGGCCCTGTCTGTGACAGAATAACGTGGTGAAGATTTTTGCAACGATACGGGCTATTGCATACCACACTGGCGCGCTTTTTGAAAAGAAGTAGGTACAACGTCCGCCGTGGAGTAGTTAAGATCATACTTTTAGGGATCATTTCTATAGTATGCATCGCCATGACTTCAGGTAAAACTGACAGTCTCTCTCTTTCTGAGCGCGAAGCCAACCAGGGTGAGTGCCATC